ACCAGTTGTTCCTATAAAATTCTAGGACTCATTTTCGTTGACGTGTTAATTTTGCCATGCAAGTTTTGAAGTTATAGATCATGAGTTAACAGATAACTGACTTAGTTTTATTTATAAAATATATTTAGGGTTGAGGTGTTACTTACTATCCTAGATCACCACACCTTGATTCTCCTTTAATATCTTTCGATAGGGAATGAACAATAATCACGCACTTTGTGTTATGTTCTCTGCAGATTATCAAGGACTTACGAAATCCTTCTGTCATGGGATGATTTATTGTTCCTCCATCACTGCGAAGCTTATTAATCTAAAAATTGGGATCCCATGGGACAAAATACAAGTTTTGCCTCTTAACCAAAAGATCAATATTGCAGGAACTGATGTGATATGCTTTGATGCAAATCACTGCCCCGGTGCTATCATAATTTTATTTGAACCGCCTAATGGTAAGGTGTGTACCAAATTGACTTATTAGAAAACTTATTGTTTTGGTGGTTATTTAGTATTTCGAAGATTGATCATGTGGTTCTCCATGTATTCAGGCTGTATTACACACTGGAGATTTCCGCTTTTGTGAGGAGATGGCAAAACTTTCCGTTTTGCAGAATTGCCCAGTCCACACTCTCATTCTTGATACAACCTATTGTGATCCCCAGGTTGGTTCATGGATAGAATCGATACTGAAAGCTAAGGTTTTGCTAAAAAAGGTTTAAGCTTCAATTAGCATTTGTATTGTTAAATCAGAGTCATCTGCAGGTTTGCCCAGATTAAATTGGTTTTAGCTAAGTAAACTTGGTCGTTGTATTAATCAGAACTAGATCTATGGATATTTTACCTTCCACAGAGTAAAAAATTTCTGCTTAAAAATTGTTTAACTATTCTGCAACATAAACCTTGCTTGGGAAAGATTTTTTATTTTTCCAAGTGAAAAATGATTTTTTGGGAGAATATATGGTTAAAAAGTGAGAAAAAAGGTATAGGTCTGATAAAATGTGTGGCTAAACATGATATTACTGTAATATGGTTTTAAAAAATCTTTCCCAAACAAGTTTTTAGATTTGGGTTATTATTGCTATTTTCGGGAAAATTAGAAGTATAGAAGTTTTGAAAAGCAGTAGCACAGATGAGTTTGTACTTGAGCCTTCCTATGAAATCAAAATTGCTGTTGGCTTCACATTCTTATATGTAGATGTTATCTCTATAGAGGGATGGTTGCCTGGGGATTGCCATTGAATACGAAAATCTCAGAAATGTTTGTTTAAATGAGGTGCTATTTAGTTCGAATAATTTAGTCTTAGTTCTCTAATATATTGTTCAGATGGATTTCACATTGTCAAACTAGGCAAAATTATGAGCATACGGATCCAGTTCTTCAATATCCCTGTAAATAATTGCACTTACACAAGCATATTTGTCATCTATTGGTTTTTTATGATGATGTTGAAAAGACAATGCCCCAATTTGGTTTGAAATTTTAGTAGATTTTGAGAAAAATTGTTAAAATACATTATTGAAAAGTTGAAAAAAGTTACGGATCCCGTGACATGTGCAGTTGAAAATGAGTTATAAGAAATGAGGGCCAAATAGGGGCAATATTTCATATACACAGTTGACGTATATGAACATTAGGTATAGGCTCTGTTTTAGATGCCGTTCAATTGGTAATAGATACTTTCTGTTCCATTCTTGCAGTATGACTTCCCAAAACAGGAGGCTGTAATTCAATTTGTCATTGACGCCATCCAAGCTGAAACTTTCAACCCCAAAACTTTGTTTTTGATTGGCAGCTATACCATCGGTAGTGTCTCCTCCTATATCTCTCCATAATGTATGTGAGTGTGATCATGCGCGTTTGCCAACCATCCAGATGTCTGCTTATCTCTTCAGTGAATCTGATTTGAGTACTTCCATTACACACCCACTCTTAATCTCTGCAAGATCCACTAATTGTCTTTTTCTTGTTCAAGAACAAGACCCCCTAATTTTTTTTTTTTTTTTTTTTTTGTTCAAGAACAGGAAAAGAAAGGTTGTTCATGGAGGTTGCCAGAGCTCTCCACAAAAAAATTTATGTCAATGCAGCAAAATTACGTATTTTAAAATGCCTGGACCTCCCAGAGGAAGACATGCAATGGTTTACAAAAAATGAACTGGAAAGCCATATTCATGTTGTGCCCATGTGGTCTATTGCAAGCTTCAAAAGATTAAAGCACATGTCCAATCAGTATGGGGTAAGGGATACATATTCCTTATAAAGAAATTATTTTTGATGGGCTATTTTTTGGGTTTTCAACAATATTATGAATTTCACCTTGTACTTAATGTCTTTTGTCGTATAATTTGAATACCATTTTAATGTCAAGAAACTGATTTTCATCTTCCTTTACAAGTGATTAACGTCAAACATTGCATAATATGTTTTATGGATTATATACAGTACGAGATATATCGTTTATTATAATTTTCTTTGATTTTGTTCAGAGTCGATTTAGTCTCATAGTTGCTTTCTCTCCCACCGGTTGGTCATTTGGTAAGGGCAAGAAGAAGTCTCCCGGAAGAAGGTGGCAGCAGGGTACTATTATAAGGTGAACATCTTATTGCAGCCTAGTTTTTATTATGGCTTCTTTTTTGGCGAATTTTCATTGCAAACTCGATAATGCTGACAACATGCGATTCAAATCTCTTTTAGGTACGAGGTACCCTACAGTGAACACAGCAGTTTTACAGAACTCCAAGAATTTGTCAAGTTCATTTCTCCAGTAGACATCATCCCAAGTGTAAATAATCATGGGCCAGATTCTCATAATGCAATGGTCTCCCAACTCGTTGTTTAGGCTACTCATAACGCGAGTTGACACATTCACCAAGTTTGATCCCTCCACTCTCTTATATTAACTTTAGATAGCTAATTTATTATTCCGTGTACATCATACTTCACCTTTTGGGTACTATGTTAAGGAACACATCGAGGATCAATTGTAAGATATGCAATTACACATTTGAATAGTAAAGATAGTTGCACACAATTAGATGTGTCAAATGTGTTAGGCAACTTAGACCCAAATGACTTGAACAGTCATGCTATTGGCCGGTTTGCTTGTATACCTTTGTTGGATTGGACTCATTTATAAGTAGGGCAACGAAACCGTCAAACCGCAAAATTGAATCGGAATCATTTTTTTGAAATCATTGATTTGGTTCCAAGTGAATCAGTCAATATTTTGGTTTTGAATCAAATCAAACTACTTTGAAGTGGTTTGGTTTAAGTTTTAATTTTTACAAATTGTTAAGCTGTTTACAAAATTTTTTTAAAAAAAATAATGAATAAATAAAGAAATAAAAATTGAAGATAAATTTGTTTAAATTTTAATTAACCCTATTAAAATGTAACACATTTCAATTAAAAAGATACATTCATATTAGACATAATTCAATTAAATTTAATTCGATAACTATACATCTCAATTAATTAACTAAATCATATCCAGATAGTCAAATACTCATTATTTATCACAATTGTGAATGTAAAACTCTCAAATTGGGTAAAATGTTGAATAACAATTAAATTTAGATTTTAATTTTAATTTTCACGTTTTATTCCTTTCTAATAATTTTCTCAAATTTTGCTTGAAGTCAAGTCAGATTATTCAATTTTTTTATTTTTCAATAATTATATATATATATATTTTTTTATGGGTAGTTGTGTTGTTTTGTTCTAATAATTGTTGAGTCTCCTTAAAGTAATTCGCCAATATTTGGATGGAGTAGAAGCATTGGATGATTTACAAAAAATCATAGTAGTTAAGTATTATTGTATTTGATTTTTATTTATTTATTTTCTTTTATTAGTTATTTTATATCATTTAACTATAATCAATGAATTCATGTACTATATTTTTCTATTTACAAAGATAATGAATTGTGTATTACAATTGCAGATGAACAACATTAGTATCGATTAAGAGTTTAAAATATTTATACCATATTTTTGCATTATAATTATTAGTAATTATATAACTTTGATTTGTAATTTTTTGAATGATACAATTTATATTTTAAAGTAGAATTATAGACTAATATTTCTGATTTAGCTTATTTGATATATATTAATTTTTTCTATGTTAAACTGTGGTTTTAAATTGAACCAAATCGTAAAAAATGATTTGGATTGGTTTAGCGTAGAAATTGAAGTGGTCTGAAATTTTTTTGAACCTCATTAAAAGATTAGGTTGAATATTTGTTTCAAACCGTCAAAATCGAACCGTATTCACCCCTATCTCCCTAACTATAATGGGATGTCATGATGATTTATCACACAAAGTACTAGCGAACAGAGAAAAGAAGGCACAAAGAATTATATATATATATATATATAGAGAGAGAGAGAGAGAGAGAGAGAGAGAGAGAGAGAGAGTACTTAAAAAAAAAAAGTTCAATAAAAGATTTAACTAATGAGTCCTAACCAAACCACGAGGAGGAATTAGGATTTAATAAAAATGATAGAATTAAAAGACGGGCATTTTTAATACTTCGGTAGGCTACATTATTGTAAAAATTAAATAATAAGCAAAAGTTGCGATGAAAATGCAACAATACAGTTCTTGGTAGAATACTGTTATTTAGCCAGATTCTTATGCCGTAGTTAAGACCTAAAAATTAAATAAATCAACAATTAACACATGAAAGTGACTACCTCGATAATTTAATAAAGCTGTATTTGATTGCAAGTAACAAATTTACATGAAAAAAAATAAATTCTAGATAATTGAATTGCTTAGAAATTATTGCACAAAAATTGTTAATTAAATGTGCTTGATTGATTTTATTTTCAATCTGAAAAATATTATATTTGTCTATTTTTATTGATAAATGGATAGGAGAGAGAGGGAGTGGATGAGAGAGAAAGAGAGAGTGAATTACCCGAAAAATAAAAACCTACTCCCCAGAAGAAAATATTTTCCTCTTTTTCAAGTAAAATATGCAAAATATTTTTCATAGAAGAATATCAATCAAACATCACAAAGGTAGGATTTTGGATGGAAAATGACATTTTTCATAAAAAATATTGACAATTAAACGTACTCTTAAGTGTTTATTTTGTCGCTTTAATTCACCAAGTACGTAAAAGCAAATACACTACAATATCTGCTCTGTCTCATCAACTCCAGAGCAATTTCGATCACTGCAGTTTTTCTCTTGATTGTCCTGTCAACACAACACAAAGTAAATTGCCATTGTTCCCAGTAATTTGCATCGAAATTACTACAAGTCCCAAATAACCTGTGCATTCAATCTAAATATATATTGGATATGTTACCTCCCACGTCAGAGAATCTGGTGACTTTCTTTTCCTGTCTGACTTTGATTTTATTGGCGAAGAAGTTTTGCAGCTTCTTCGATTGTGGCCAAATTCCCCGCATCGTCCACACCTTGTAATTTGCTCTTTCCCTTCTGCTGATGGTATTCCTTTTCCCTTAGGCCTTCCGGGTCTTCTCTTTGGCGTTGGAGCTAACACTGCCCTGTTCTTAAGCAATGCCTGCTCTCGAGCCCTCCAAGCTTTCTCATAACTCATCCACACTCCATATGTATTCATCATATCTTTCATAATGTCTCCGGGAGTGTATATGGTCTTTGGGGAGAGATAGTTGTACTTGATGCAACTAGCCACAAACGAACTTGTTGCTTGGCGATGATGTCTCAACACGACATCCAACTTGCACGTGTGACTATTTTTCATGTATCTTATTTTGAACTTGTCCATTTCTCCGATTCTCGAAGCTCTAAAAGACCAGGTGCATTTATCATCAAGACATTTCAGCACATACTCCTTCCTGTCAGACCGATACACCTTGAATTGAAATCGGTTCTGTATTGCATACAAGGCAATACTTGTCTTTAACAATTCCTTAGTTTGGTAAATTCGATTTTTTGCAATCCCGTCAATAGTAGGATGTGAAATCACATTAGTTTCTGTCTCGTCATTCATTTCTTCAGGTTCCGGTATGCTATCACAAATCTCGGCAGCCATCTCCTCAATCGTTAGTGGCCTTATAGGTGATGAAATCTCCAAACAAAGTCTTTTACGACGCTGTAGCTGCATTATATTACCTCCTTTAACAAAAGCATCTTGCGAAAGTGATATGTCTTGTAATGTTTCAGTTCTGTTACACTGAACATTCAGAATCAACATCCTCAATTGTTGGTAGCCTTTGAGGTGATGAAGTCTCTGAACAATTTCTCCCGCAACACTGAAGCTGCATCTTATTACCTCGTTCAACAGAGGCATCTTGCGAAAGTGACGTGTCTTGAAATGTTTCGGTTCCATTACCATGTGATACGTCAACGCATAATGGAAACTTTCTGACATCTCGGTCCTTTTTCTTGAGTTCTAAATAAAATGAGACGGAGTTGTTGTTGGAAATCCTCATGAGAGGCATGCTTTTGTTAACTTGATACTGTATTTTTATTGCATCTCTTGTTGTGCCCCAATTTATCTCTCACTATCATCTCAACAAATTTGATGTATGTGCATTCCCTTGGAAACAGAATTCCAGTAGCTGAATAATCACTGTAGTTGTTGAATCGATCCCATTTGCCACCATAGTAGACCAGAACACTAATGTGCTCCATATCTGCAATCAGAGATATCAAAAGGTATCATTATTCTTAATATTTAATATAACCAAAATAACAGTACATTCTAATGAAAAGATATAAAAATTGCAAAGTTTTATGGTAAAGTAACACAGATTGTTGCAAAAAAGGTTTGAATTTTAATGCACCCTAGATATCCAGCCAAAAAAATAAAATAAAATAAAATAAAAAACAATAAAGCCTCTGTTTGGTACCGATTAAAATCTAGATTTTAGTCTAAGTCAAAGTCAACAATTCATTTCAACCACATATTTTATGGACTTCACAACTTTTCACTTCCTCAACTTCTATTAAAATACACTAAAAATCTGATTTTAATCCCCACCAAATGGGGGCAAAATAAACAAGCAACAGTATGTGACCTCTCTGAAAAAACTAACAAGTAACAAGCTGCAATTCCTACTAGCCATTGAAAAATGAAAACAAGTGTGCAATAATATTAAAGTAGGTTATTTTCTAATATAAAGTAACCAGGTGAAATTTTATTAAAGCACAAAAACAATTCTAAATTAATTGTTCAGTCGAAAAAACATCAACATTAATTGAAGGCCGGAAAAAATCAGCGGAGAATGAAAAAAAAAATAATGCAGTGACAACAAGAGAAGAATGCAAAAGCAATCAACATAACTCTCAAAAAATATGTTACCTTGTGATACTGGTCCAACATCAACGCATAATGGATACTTTGTGACGTCTTGGTCCTTTTTCTTGAGCTCTAAATAAAATGAGATAGAGTGGTCGTTGTAAATCTTAATGGGAGGCATGTTTTTGTTAACTTGATATTGTAGTGAAACTGCATCTTTTGTTGGATCCCAATTCAACTCTTCCACTATCATCTCAACAAGTTTGCTATACGTGCATTCCATTGGGACCAGAATTCCAGAAACTGAATAATCATTGTAGTTGTTGAGTTCATCCCATTTGCCACCATAGTAGAGGAAGACATTAACGTACTCCATCTGCAAATATCAGAGCTAAAAATGGTATTAATATAGTAAATATCATCATTATAACGGTAGTTTCTCATGATAAAAACAAATATTGTGAAGTTTAATGGTACAATAACACACAGATTGTGCAATTTTATTGAAAAGTTTAAAAAAATTGTGAATTTTGCCTCTGTTAAGGTTTCTTTTTTCTTTTTTTCTTACTAAAAAGTTACTTTTACTTTATGTGTGGTGAACAGGCAGGCAGTACTTATGGATCCTATGACATTTGTGGTTAAAATTAAGTTTTGATTTTGAAAAGTAACCTTCCAGTAAAAATTTGAAACACGAACAGAGGCTTTAATGCATACTCCAATTTCCAGCCACCAGAACATAACAAAAGTTGAACAGCCAACAGTATGCAGCTTTTCTATAAAAAAAACTAAGGGCCTGTTTGATAGGCCTTTTTATCCATGGAACTTGGAAATGAAATTCCATTTTCCACGTTTTTGAGTGTTTGATTTGTCAAATTCTCCAAGTAATTGGTTTTCTAGCTTTGCCCTCACGTGACCAGCTTTTCCTTGGTTTTGAGGAATTCACTTGAAATTGATTTTCCATGCAAATATATATATATATATATTTTTTTTTTTACAATGGAAACAAATTCTAGGAACAATTATAAAAGAGAATATCCTTTAAATTGACAATTTTCATATAAAACAAAACCAAACGAACACCAAAATATAGATGATTTTTGGATTTTTTTTTTATTTTTTTGGTAATGGAAACAAATTTTAGAAACAAATGTAGAAGTGGATATCCATTAAATTGATAATTTTCATGAAAACCAAAGTCAAACGAACACCAAAAGACACTTTTATTTTAACATTTTTGAGGTGTAAAATTATACTAATAAAATACTATTAATTGACAATTCTCAATAAAACAATTTCTAGACAACTCAATTTCCTGTAATTCGTTTTCTTTCCATTCAAATTTTATCTTTGCAATCAAATGGACCCTAACAGAATAACGAGTTGAATTCATATTAGCCATTGAAAACAAGGTTGCAATAACAAAAACTACATTACTTTCTAATAAAAAGTAACGGGGTGCAATTTTAGACTAACAGAAAAAAGTCATGAATTAATTGTCGAGTCAAAGAACATCAAATTACTCACTCCTACACATTTTCTCTTTGTTTCCCAGGCCTCTAATGAGTTAAAATATGTATCTAAAATTCGGTCGCTAAACGACATCTTCCTCAATCAAGCAAGCTAGTCATCAAGTCACTAACCACTTCAGGAGGAGCCCCATCACCATTAGGTTAAGAAAGCAGCTTTTATAAAGGTGATTGAATCAACAAACCTAGCTTTTGGTCCAAGACTTGTAATGAGCCATTTTGAAGGGTAAAAAATTCAGCCGAGAATAAAAATACGATGCATTGAGTCAGTGATAAGGTCCCTAGGATAGAATGCAAAAGCAGTCTCTCTAACTCGAGCATTTAACATGAAGTTGGCATCAGAACAATCCCAACAAAAAAATAATAATAATAACAAAAAGTATGTCACCTTTTCAAAATGAACAAAACAAAAACAACCAACCAGTATGTGACATTATTAAAATGTATGACACACTGCTCCAATAACCTAATCAAATAATGTCAAGGATGACAAATGTGATGAAGAAATGCAAAAAATTGACGCATTCTATGATGCTAAGTCAAATTAACGTTAATTTGCATTACTGATTCAATTTTGAACTTCAACTTTCAATCAAAGTCAAATTAAAGTCAAACCAAGGAACTTAACTTGTTTTTTAAAACCCCTCCTCCCAATAAAGAAAAATGGAAATTTTTTTAAAAAGTTTTGTTGAAGACGAATAAACTAAAGAAAATAGTTCAAACAAAATTATTTACTAACACCCAAAAACTATTTAACTTATAAAGGGAGCAGAATTTTACGGGAGATATAATGTTTAAACATAAAAAAAAATAAAAATAAAAATAATTGCAAAATGTATAAAAATACCAATGTAATATTTCAACAACAAAAAAGAAAATTACCAGACTTCTAAAGTAGGTAGGCGAGGCAGAAAAGTCCGAACGGCTACTGGATTTTGCAATTGAAGATGATAATGAGAGAGAAATGAAGGGTTTGGACCGGGTAATTAGAGATTTTTAGAAACAACAATATAATGGACGCAAAATTGGAGGTCACGTTACCTTATTCTGGCTGTTAATTCCAAATTTGGCTGACAATTGTAATTTTCCGGCGGACGAATTTCCACTCTTCGACAGATTCTGCTATTGGACAAGGAAGTCACAAAGTGTTAATGGCGTTTAGGTTTCTTCAGCGGTTCTGGAAGAAGATGGGTAATCAATGACAGATTTTTTGCTATTAATATCTCCGAGAATTACGTTGATTGATGATCAGCATTTCTTTTTCAAAATTTGGAGAGAGACAGTATGATCGATCATCATAGTCTTGCACAGTAGTAACCGGGTGGGCAAGTAGGACGAAATTATATTTTTTATCTCTCTTCTCGTTTATATATTTTAAATATAATTTTAATTTAAAATAGTAAAATAGACTAAGAAAATTGAAATAGGGTTACGTTTAATTTTCGGTCCGGTTTCTCAATAGATGGGTAATGGTCTAATGGAACATTTTGTCACTGAATTCAGCATTTTTATATATAATATTCTCATTATTTTTTTATTTTTATCCATTGTGTCAACTTTTCCGGCAACAATGTAACCAATAAATGGACTACAATAATAATTTATCTTTTGTTGAAAGTGAACAATAGAAAAAAAAGTACAAAAGAGATAATTATGTAATTAATCGTAATGAGCCAAGAAAAGGACAACAGTAAGTGGGACACTTTTCTAGATATCTTGATAGTGATGAGGCTAAGCTTCTATTTTTGACTCTATTTTTTTCAAAAACACATTATAATGGAGCCAAATCAAGGTCTTACACAATCTACATGAATCCACTTAAACGCCACATGGAACGCAAAGGCCAAGTAGGCTGGCCTCGTATGCTTCCCACATGCTTCGCTAGGCTATAATGAAGCAGTTTGATTAATTGATTTTGCGTTTTTCAATGGTATACGCAATTCGCATGGCCTTAGGGCATCTTGAATGGGCACTCTTTTGCGCTAAATTGAACATTGTCGGCTTGGTCATGTGTCTTGTGATCGTTTGATCCACCACCCTATGGCCATGTTCTATTTGGAGGAATAAAATAAAAATTGTTTTTCGACGATTGCCATAAAAACCAGAAAATGTTATAAAATGTATATTAACTGATCAAAATTTTTCATCAATCAAAAGTGAAGGCTTTCCCTAAATGCGGTGTTAACAATTTAATAACTATCTTTGTAGCTCCAAAATGTTTCAGTTTGGAGGAAGTTGTGGCATGTTCACTAAAAAAATAATCCTTTTGTAATCAATCATTTATTAAGACTGCTAACAAATGGCGATACCCGCGAAAACCAAAGGATTATTCGCTCTTTGGGGTGTCACCAATCACATGCTTTACTCACTTTCTCTCTTCTTGTCAGTGCAAACGTCCCTTCAATCATTACACTATTTTGGTGCAAAATGGTGCAACATGAACAGTATTTGGTGCAATGTTCGTTTTGTCACTTCTTTCATTTTTTAAAGATAATGGTTAAAAGTATTTGTATCATTTTAGTTCTATAATAATAATGACAATGATAATAACAACAACATCATTAATTATATTATTAAAATTTATTATTTTTAATAATATAATCAATAATAATTAAGAATTTTTTAATTTAGTAATTATTTTCGTAAATTTAACGTAATTGTTTATAATAAATTAATAATATAATCAATTATTTTCGTCAATTTAACATAATATATAAAACATGTGAATAATTTAGTAATCAATAATAATTCAATATATTTGTTAATTTAACGTAGTTATAATTTAGCAATTTATAAAGTTACAAAAAAATAAATAAATAAATAAATTTTTTAAATAAATACATTGTAAAAATTTGAAAAAAATGAATAAAATAATAAAACACTGTTCATTTTTTTGTGTAATGGTTGGAGATGAATTTTGATTTGTTGTAAATTTTGGTGTCGGGTTGGAGATGTCCTTAGCATGAATTGTGTGTTTTCACCAAGCTTCGCCTTTTGTCAAACTTCGTACAAGTCTAGGTAAAGTTAGATAACTCCTATAGGGATGACAAATGAGGCCAAATGGAAAGGCTTTTTCTTCTTCTTCCTTTTTTTTTTTTGTTATTGTTGTTGTTGTTGTTGTAGTAATGCTATTTATAATGAAAATTATGGATGGCCATGACTATGTGACATATATCTAATCACTCAATCATTCGTAGTGAGCATTATTGTTTAAAAAACTAAGAAATTAGATATATGTCACATAGGATGACTATCAGTAGTCCTCATTATGAATAACATTATTATTATTTCTCTTTGAATAACTAGTTTCTATGTTACGGTGATTTGAATGCTTGGAATGTGCGGTCAATGAATCTATTTCGTAATGAAACAGCTTTATAACTCATTAACATTTCATACAGAAATCTTTAGTGAACAAGGAGGATCTAGAGAAAAAATCTCAAAATGAGTAATTCAATGAAGGAGGAAAACGATGCATAACACCAATCCCCAACCAACAGAAGGCATGACCCCTAATTCAGGAAACTCACCTATAAATATCCATATTTTACCGTCGTTGTTTTATAGCGTTTAGCCGGAATATCAATTATTGTCAATCTTTTTTCTCGAAATTGTGATCTTGATGTTTAACAGAGTCCTAGCGTATATAGGTAATATACAAGTTGATGGGGATGTAGTAAGAACTCGATTTATAGAAAGATCTTGCAAAATTTTCAGGTCAACAAAGTAATGAGTGTCTATATAGGGCCATGTTTCTTCAATGGGACATGAAATTTCCATCCCAATATTTGTGTAGTGAGATTTTTTTAGACTTTATTTTTCATTTTTTTTCTCTGTTCATGTTGTCAACTTTTCTCAGAGATAGCAACATGCAAGGTGGGGTTGAGTGGGTCGAACAAAGGTGGCCCTCTCCATTCCCGTCTCGTCGGAGATTTTTGTGAGTCGAGACGAGGGCATGTATTTAAAAAAATCCCCGTTGACTTATTTATTTAAAATTTAATAATTTTTTATTTTGAAAATGCGATTTAAAATATAAAACTTGAAATGAATATGATCATTAGGTGCATGAATCATATTTCTAGTCTCCTTCCTCGATTAACAATCGGGGCAAAGTTGGATACCATCAGTAGCTTTTCCTACAATTCTATGGTAACTAATATACGGACCTTAATAGTAATTTATTTGCAATATAAATAACAAAGGAAAATTTATAAAGATTCTTATAGAAAATAAATATTTTTTCAATGGTTTTATGTCATGCCTAATTTGAATAGGCAAAACTTAATTTTAATGGGAACAATACATATTTAGTCACCGCTTGATTTCCATTCTTTGGCCACAAAAATGAAAGTATGATTGTTACTCATCACATCAAACCGTCATATTTGACTTTCTATTTCTTGTGTGGGTCACATAACGACTAAGTTTTTCATTCTTATTTTTACAAAAATGGGTATCAAACGGGACTTTAAGGTGTTTGAAAGATATAATTTCAAAATTAAAAAATTTGTTTCAAAATTTCAAAAATTAGGTCATAATTAAATTTAAATGATTAAATAAATTTTATAAATTAAATATATTAAGATCACAATATTATACAATTCACGATCACAATTACATATTAGTCACAATCACAAAACATCACAGCTACAAATCACAAATTTTATAGATCACGAGTTATTTATCTATCACAAGTTAACAGATTAGTATATCACGTATTATTTTTTGATCACAAATCACAAATTTTAGAGGTCACAACTTATTTATTAATTACAAATTATCAAATTAATAGATCATGTATTATTTTTTAGTTATAAATTTTGTAGATCACAACTTAATAAATTATCAAATTAATTGGTCGTAACAAAACAAATTATGAGTCATGATTACAACTTTAGTCATAGGCTTATATGTTTTAGTTCACATATTATTTACACAAAAAAAAAATTATTTTTACTTAAAAAAAAGTTGGACTAACATGTAAAAAAATTGTTTTTACTCAAAAAAAAATTACTAAAAAGCTGGACTAACATGTGTAATAAAAAAAAAAAATCATTAAGTGGGCTGGAGAGGGGACTGGGCTGGGTTGCCTTAAATCCGCCCCTGCTTATAAAATATTTTAGAATAATGTGTAACACACGTTCAATAATGACTAGTTCAACAAATAGTACACATGATATAAACAACAATTGAAGAAAAAAGAGAGAGAGAATGTGGGGACATCTTCGAGATGAGAATATGCATAGGGATAGGGTATAGTCTATCTAAATGTACGACAAAATTTAAATAAATATAGACATTAAGGGCTCGTTTGGTAGGGATTTTTTAAGAATTGATTTTTTGACCGTTAGAAAAAAAGTGAGGTCCACATGTGAGAGAAGAAGTCAAAAATTACGACTTGAATAGTAAAATAACGGTCAAAAAATCAATTTTTTGGGGCAAAAAATCCCTACCAAACGGGCCTAAATTATTCTCAACAAAATTTTGAGTAAACTCCAACAGTCCTTTTTTGGGGGCAAAATGGGCAACTGCAAATAGCAAGTAACAGCAAGGAAATAACATAGGTTTAATAAAGTCTAAATTTGTAAAATTCTCTAAAATAGGAGAGGAGGAATTTAATTATTTCCTCTTCACATCTGTTATTTTGCTTTGCATGTTCATTACCACAAGCAAGTCTTTTTGGTAGAAAAGGGAAAAATTATAAAAGAAAAAGAAAATTGTGGGGCCCCTATCCAAGGTCGATAGAAGGGAAAACCAAAGATTTCATATAGAAAAAAAATAAATAATAATAATAATAAAATCTCAGGCTAACCAGTCCCCATCCATTCCTTCAATTTCCTCAATCTCCATGCCGCATCATTGACAAGAAAGATATAAATAGTTGTTTGTATAATCAGGGAAAAGGGAAGAAGTAATTACAAAAATAGCATGTCGAGTAATTGCAATTATTGGATTTTGGTCTTTCTATAACATTTTAGAGATCAATACGCATTTCAATTATTTTTTAATTGAGAAAGATCCTTTTTAGGTGTAATTATAATTTTGTTTCAAAGCAAAAAATATAAAATATACGATCTATTTCTACAATGAAAAATTAATTAAATAGTAGTCTAGAATATATGATAATAGAATTATTTTTCTAAACAAAATATCAACTTATGCATAATTCAAAATAGTGGAAATTACGGATTCTAATATATTTAGAGATCTCATTTCATAAATCATAGAATAAGTTTACTATTTCAAAAATCAGATTTTTTTAATTAATTAATAAATTTGAAATATTAATAATTGTATTACAAAATTAAATATACACTCATCCCAAATCCTAAAATTCAATTATCACTCTCCTCCCTCTCTATCTCTCTCACACACGCACTCTCTCTCTCTCACCCTCTCTATCTACACCACTCTCACTGTTTTGGCATCCCAATTCTTCCCACACCAGCTTCGACCCACCTCATTTGATGGTGGTAGCATGCAGAGAGGCGACGAGCAAAGCCTAACAACGAAGATCCTTTGTGGTGTTGGTATTCGGCGCGGTGTCCACCAAACCACCACCACCGCAGCGGGGTGGTGTCATTCTGAAACTACACTAGGAACCAGTAGCAAGAGATAATCATTCTTTCAATTTCAATGGAATTGAGGATTTTGGTTTCAGGTCTGATGTTGATAAGAAATGGATGGAGCTTAAGGTGGATTGAGAATTGAAAATACTTGTGATTCAGGAAGATTTTTTATGCCTTCAATTTGAAATCAAAATTTTCGGCCTTGATTCGAGCGTGTAGGATGGGGCGGTGGTATGTGTGTGGTGTGGGGGTGTGTGTGAACTGTGCAGGAAGGGGCGCAGTGTGCTGTGTGTGATGGTGGCAACAGCATGGTGGTGTCATTGTTGTGAAGTGATAAGGGTGGGGGTTATTTCGTGGTGGTGGATCTAGAGATGACGACGATGGTGGTGTTGTCAGAGTAGGTAGTTTCAGTGCCACTATGTATTGGTCACAGATGCGACGCTCATCGCGGTGGTGGTGGCTTTACCGTTGGTGTTTGTAGTGGTGGTGATATCAATGGTGGTGATGGTGGGCAGTGTCGTTGGTGGTTGTTGGCAGTAATACGGTGCTTTGGAGTGGTGGGATGGGCGTGAGTGTTGTTGGTGTTATGTTGGTGTTATATTGACGGTGGTGGCGGTGGACAACGTCGCTGGTGGTGGTTGGTGGTAGTGCGGTGCTTTGGAGTGGTGGGATGGGGGTGTAGGTGTATGTGACGATTTTATTGGTTGACTAAAAGTTGTGACCAATAAATTGGTTAATTTGTGACCAATGTGGTGGTGGTTTTGGCAGTGACGGTGGTGGTGATGCTATTGGAGGCAGCGTTAAAGTGGTGGTCGAAGGTGTTGGTGATGGTTACAGATTATTCGGTTGATTATGACCAGTGAATTGGTTAATCTATGATCAATAAACAATATGCGACCAATGAAAAAGTTAAATTGTGACCAAGAAATAATGTGTGACCTAAAATATTAATAATTTGTGGCCTATAATATTTGTGATTTGTGACCTATAAATTTTCTTATTTGTGATTAAAAAATAATATGTGACCTATAAAATTTTTGATTTGTGACCGAAAAATAAGTTGTGACCAATAATTTGATAAGTTGTGACTAAAAATTAATCTATGACTAATTCATTTTTTGATTTGTGACCGATGAACAAATTGTGACCTACGAAATTTTTGAATTGTGATCGTAAAATAATTTGTGATATAAAATTTCTGATTTGTGACCAAAAAATAATAAGTGACTAATTAAATTATTAATTTGTGACCAAATTGTATAGATATGTGATCTAAATATATTTAATTAATAAATTAATTAATTAATTAATTAATTAAATCATATATATATATTTTAATAAAAATCTGATTTTTGAAGTTTGAAACTTGTTTTCTTAATTTTGAAATCTACCATACTTAATCTTTTATTTATGAAATTTTCCCTTCAAAATATAATGGGAAATATTTTCGTGGACTTTATTTGATTGTCGCCATGCCATATGTATAACATCTCCTCCCAACCAAACAATGAATTATAGACTACATTTAATTTAAATTAATAAATGTATCGAAATAAACAAGGGAATTACATTTGAATCTCAACTTCACTTATTTTTTAAAATTGCACTGCATCAATTCTTCAATAAAAATAAGTATAACCTACATGTGAAATAGTACATTGATGACTAAATTTAAATATATAAATCTAGCTCTTCATTGACTTTTTTTACATTCGGCCGAGATAGTTTAATTAAAAAGAGAAATATTCTTAAAGAAAATGTAGGATGAAAGAATTAAAAATTAAGGTAACAAAAGTTCTGTTCATTCTCATCAATAAAAAAATAAAAAGAAATTAAAAAACAGAAAACATCTTTTACAACAAATGAAAAAATATATAATTCTCCACAAGCATTAAAAAATAAAAATAATAATTCTTACCATGGCAAATCAGAATCCTGCAAGTAATCGTAAGAACAAGAATCATTCAAGCAATCTGGAAATTCCATTACTTCACCAAATGGAGACACTAATCCATAATCGTCTGTTTTATGTTCAGGAGAAATTTCCATAGCTTTCAAGAATTTGAACCACCAAGCAGAGGTAACCAAATTCATGGTGTCATTCCATACCATTTGATGTTTCTCTCCAATTGATCTGATCTCAGCCATCTCCTTATCATCCATTGCTGGATGCAAGTCCAATTCCATTTCCGGTACGCCGGATTCCGCCACCATCGGCGCCATGCGTGGAGTTTCAAAGGTTGTGGCGGCGGCGGCCGAGAGTGGAGGTGAAGAAGAAGAAGATGCAGATGCAGAAGAGGATGAAAAAAGTGATGGAGGGGTGGTGGTAATGTAATAAGGGGTGGCGTCCAAGTTGTTGAAATCTTGAAAATTAAGGTTCAGTCCCAAGGTTTGATTAGGCAGTGAAATATTGATATTTTCTTGGAAAGTTGTTGGTGGTGGTGGTGGAACTGGAGAAACAGGCCAAGAATAATCAGGCCCTGAAGAACAGTAGGAGAAATTTGAAGTAGAATTTGTAGCATAAATTCTTTGGTTTCTCGTGAAATTCAATTTAGCCTCATTTTCTAAAGAAATTTCTTGAGGAGAAGACTCCATTAATGGCTGATTTTCCATTTCTTGAGCTTTTTTCATGGCAGCTCTATGAAATTTAAGAGCAGTGGCAATTTCTCTTCTTGCTTCAGCCATATTCAGAAGCCTCTCCTGATAAGGCCTAGTGCGGAGTCTTCTCCTCACTTGTTTTCTAGGCTTTTCATCGAATCCTTCACCATTTTTGGCCGAATTTTGGTTGCTAAAGGAACTGACTTCTACACCTGAACTCTTATTTTCTTTGGTTCTTGAAGAGGTTAATTCTTTAACAAGGGTACGAACGTAAGAACCAGAGAGGTGGGTTTTTTTATTTTCTTTCAGGTTTTCAAGTTTTTCTAATTCCACCCCACCGTTTTTAGTACTGATTTGCTTCGAAGAATAGTTTCCCCTCATTTTTTTTTTTTTGGTATTATATGTTCAGTATGGTTTTCAGTTTTCTAGGTGACAAAGTACAGAATGCAGAGAGCAGAAGTCCGGAGGGCTTGTGGGTGTTATAAATAGAGGGTGACATAATCTAGGGTTTTTAAGCTCCTTGGGAAATTTCAAGTCAATTCTTAATAAATATAGTTATATAAATTTTCGTTAATTCATCACGTAACCCTTGTAAATATCCTTTAACTTAGATTTTAAGACATCAAATAACAAAATCTAGCTGACTAATATTTGACATGTGAAGACAGCATGACAATTTAATACACCTCTAGGCAATTTTGCTCCCGAGTGACTTACTAGCATTAATGATGAAAGGTCGAGGATACATTGCTCTCTTCGAAAAATTATAAACCAACTTGCCATGTTTGGATAGCGATTTTTCGTGTTGTCAAAGATTTGAACTATAAAATTAGATGGGGAATGCCTAATCGAAGTCCAAGATAGTAGCGGACATTTTCAATTTATTTGATTCGTTGAGTTCCATTTTATGAACAATTGATGAATACAAAAAATAAAGAAGAAAAGTGAAACAGAGAACCACATACAGGCTAGGGTGGGAAATGGGATGAGCAGCTTGCGAGCTGACTTGTCTTGCATCCGAGACGAGCTACGGGCGTGAATCGAGCAGTAAAAAACTTGTACAAGTTGCTCATTGACTCGTGAAACGTTCGTGTTTGTGGAAAATAATAATAATAATAATAATAATAATAATAATAATAATAATAATAATAATAATAATAATAATAATAATAATAATTGACCTGCGAACTAGCTTGACTCGTCGCACCAAAGTGCGAGTTCGTGAGACGAATTGAGTCCAACTTCCTTGAAGCAATTCGACTCACGCTTCGCTTTACAGGCGAGCGTGGGCTCAATTTAACTTGTTTCCCGTCCTAAAATATGCACAAAATTTACGTCTAGTATACCATTAATCAAAATTTTAATGAAATTAATAGAATAGAGAGTCAAATGGTGGAGACTTTTTTAGCTTAAACAATAAAGAAATATTTTACAAAATTTGAAGTATGAAGGAAGATGATGGTTTGCCATAAATCAACCTTATCTCTTACATGATCAAACCAAACCGACTTGCATATACATCTTATGACTTTCTAGATGTGGCAACCTGCGTCATGAAATGTCACCTAGTAGTTGCACCCTCCTCATCCCCTTCCTTGAATGTTTATCAAATAATTAATATTTAGCATGTTTGTCTCCCATTATTTGAGAAATTAAAGAGTTTTGAATAGTATATTTTGGAGAATGCGTGATTAAAAAATAAAGAAATTTTATTGGTCTGTGTATAAAATATTTTATAGTGTAAATGTGTAGTGAAGAAGACACTTAATATTATGCGACTCAAATAATAATGACAACATCAATATTTTGTTAACATGTACTCCATTTCGGAAGAAAATAGAACAGACGTATGGAAATTATTTATGATGGAGCAATTTATCGTGTCACTAAATTAAGAAGAATAATGCTATCTATGTGTCATTATATAATATTTTCAATTAAATGTGAAATTATATGGTTCATTTAATTGTACATTTCATTTAATGATACTTAGTGTACTAATACATAACTCATTTGCCTTGCCTTATTTTATGGCTGTAAGCAAAAATCGTCGAACCGAAATCGACAATTTAGAAATTGTCGATTTGGTGCCACATGGACCCAGTCAACGAAATGGTTTTTAACCAAGGTTTGGGTTTAAGAATTTTAATTGCGATTTAAAATCAAATCGGACCGGGGAAAAAATATATATAAATAAAAAAATGAAAAAAAATGATTTTTTTTTGAAAATTCATCCAAATATATAAAATTTAATAGTTTTGTCATTTATGAGTATTTTTGTCAATTTCTATTTTTCTAATACAGATATATTATTATTATTCAATAATCCTAATTTATATCTAATAATCTCAAGACTAACATAATCTATCAAAAATCTTTTTCCTCTTCAGAATTTAGATGAACTCCAATCGACACCCAACATGGTCTTGAGCCATCGACATCACACACATCTTTTTCAGACTTTTCATACCTCTTCAAAGTTGAATTGAAGTCCATTATACCAAATCGGAGACAAAGAGATCCTAGACCTTTTGTGATAATATTTGCGACGAATAAAGTTTCTAATTAATAATATTTTTTGGAGCAAACTAAGGTAAGAGTTTGAAATAAAATGTGTTTCGTAACATTATACAAACGTAAACTTATGTAATTGTTATGTTTAGATATTATAAACAATTGCTTTATTATTATGGTTGGTTATTCTCTTTATCTAATCAGTATCATTTTTTCAAATATGATGATCACGAGGTCTTATTGGACATCATTATATTTTTTGGGCTTTATATCTAGTTTATTAGACTTGTATTGTAACATTATTGTATCTTCATTAGCCTAAAAAAGGTGAACAATAATGAAAAAAACTATGTTTTGGTTTATTGCGATTTTACTTTGATTTAGTTGGTATTAAATTTACTGTAGATATATTTAGCCCCTGTTTGAGTCATATTTTACATATTATCATAACAAAAAAATTGACCGTTGGAAAGGAGATTAGGTTCTACACATGAAATAGCAGGTCAACAAAGGTGGCTGGACTCGTGAGATAACGGTTCAAATTTTTATTTTTTTTGTCCGAAAAATTTGGTTCAAACATGGGCTTAGTTTATTTTAGATTTATTGTTAGTAAAATATAAATATATATTGAATTCAGTGAATTAATGACATAAAAATAAACAGACAAAAAATATATGGCGATATTAGAGGTATTAATTATGTAATTATCCCACTAGCTATTGTAAATATTTTGATTGACAATAAATCCCATAGATTAGGTAATTAGCTAAGTTTAGAATATATGATTGGCTATCAATCCTCATCCTGTACGTGGATAAACACCTCACCTTTAATCAATGAAAAACAAGCCATTATATCTCTATCTCTTCATGGTATTAGAGCTACCACATTTCTGACCTGTCTTATTCCCTTTCTCTCTTTTGCTTCTTTCACAATTCTCCACTTCCTTCTTCAAATGTCTTCTGAAGACACCTCTGCTTATACCACCATTCAAATTACCAAGACCTAAATAATTCTCTTGTTACCATCAACACTACAAACATCACAAAACTGACCACCACCAGCTACATCACGTGGAGCCTCCAAATCAGAAGTCTGTTAGAAGGATATGACCTCTATGGCTTTCTCGACGGTTCTAATCCCAGTCCCACACCAACAGTCACAGCTGATGGTAAGTCGGCTCCAAATCCAGCCTACACAACATGGAAGTGCCAAGATCGTCTCCTCTTCAGTGCACTCCTTGGTGCAGTCTCTCTACCCATCCAACCTCTTTTTGCCCGCAACACCACCTCTGAGGAGGCCTAGACCACCTTGGCTAATACCTATGTCAAACCATCCCGTGGTCACATCAAACAGATCAAGGACCAATTGAAAAACTGTGTCAAGGGCTCCAAGACGATCTCCGAGTATATGCAATTTATCAAGAACCGAGCTGATGAACTTGCTCTTCTTGGAAAACTTGTTGATGAAGAAGATCTCATTGATAAAATTTTTGACGGCCTTGACGAGGAATACAAAGGAATTGTTGACGCAGTTAATGCACGTGAAACGCCGATCTCCTTTGATGAAATTCATGAAAAACTCATCAACAAAGAAGCGTCTCTCCAACAATCACATGCACCACCATCATTCGGCCACCGCCAATCCAGTAAATCAACGCAACAATCATTCTTGGCGCCCTTCCACAAACACCATTCATAATCAACAATCCAATGCTCCTCGTAATGCTTGTCCTCCACCACGTCCGTATCTTGGGCATTGCCAAGGATGTGGTGCTCAAGGACACACTGTCAAACGATGCCCTATTTATCGACTTATCAACACCCAATCCTCATTGGCTCCTTCAGCAACACGCCCACAGGCTCCACATCATGCTTCTTCTTTGCAACCGCATGCATACTTTGCATCTCTTGACACCACTGACACCCTCACATGGCTACTTGATAGTGGGACATCGCACCATGTCACCACGGATTTGAATAATCTTTCACTTCACACTCCTTATGCAGGGTTGGATGATGTTATGATCAGCGATGGCTCGAGTCTTCACATTACCCATACTGGTTCCACCACCCTTCATACTCGTACTCGTACCTTTAATTTACGTAATATTCTTTGCGTACCTAACATGAAAAAGAACCTTATTTCTATCTATCAATTTTGCAATACTAATCATGTTTCTATTGAATTCTTTCTCACTGCCTTTCATGTAAAGGATCTGAGCACGGGGACAATCCTTTGGACGGAAAACACTAAAGATGGCGTCTATGAGTGACCAACCTCCTCTCCAACATTGTCCTCTCCGCTCATTTTCTTTTCCAGCGTCAAGACCACTTCCTCCGAGTGGCACTCCAGATTAGGTCATCCATCAACACCTATTCTTCAGCATATTATGTCTCTTTACCATATTCTAAGTCACAACACTCTCATTGTAATGCATGTTTAAGCAATAAAAGTCAAAAAATTCCATTTTCTACATCTACGATTGTTTCATCTCACCCTTTACAAGTCATATTTTTGGATGTTTGGACTCCCCCATTTATTCTGTTGATGATTTCAAGTATTATATTATTTTTGTTGATCACTTTACACGTTATGTTTGGTATTGCCCATTAAAGAAGAAATCTCATGTCTATGATGTCTTTCTTCGTTTCAAGGCACTAGTAGAAAACCACTTCAAACACTCCATTGTCACTCTTTACACCAATAATGGTGGTGAATATCAAGCATTAGATCAATTTCTGTCCCATCATGAAATTTCTCATCTTCATCTCACCTCTCCCCCACATACATCTGAACATCATGGTCTCTCTGAACGCTGACATCGACATATTGTTGAAACCGGTCTGTCTCTACTCACTCACGCC